AAAAAAAAAAAAAAAAAAAAAAAGATTCCTTGTCCCTATAGAACTCCCACTGAAAGTTTGGCAGGTCCTGTTCCCTTTTAGTAGTGAGCTACTGACAAAAAGAAACAGATCACATCATAGTAACACAAGAGTGGGCATGACTTTGAGGTGTGAAGTAACCTCACTTTTGCCAGTTTCCTCAGCTCTCAGGAATGCTGAGGACCACCTGCAGGCTGATAACTACAGCAGTAGTTGTGTGTTCACTCCCCAAGGCCCAGAAAGGAAGAACACCCTCCGTCTTCTGCTCTGCTTGCCTGCCCTGGTAAATAGAGGAATGAGTAGGAAAAATTAGCCCTAAGAGGGGGTGAAAGGTGCGGGAAGAAGTTCTATGCCTGTCCAACTGCAGTTCAAAATTCAGTTGAATTCATGAAAGAGAATTTGTAACAAGACTGACTCCCGGCTCAGCACCTGTGGCTCAAGTGGCTAAGGCGCCAGCCACATACACTTAAGGTGGCGGGTTCGAATCCAGCCCGGGCCCGCCAAAACAACAATGACGGCTGCAACCAAAAAAATAACCAGGTGTTGTGGTGGGAACCTGTCATCCCAGCTACTTGGGAGGCTGAGGCAGGAGACTCACTTGAGCCCAAGAGTTGGAGGTTGCTGTGAGCTGTGATACCACAGCACTCTACCGAGGGGGGCAGCTTGAGGGTCGGTCTCAAAAAAGACTGACGCCCTTTGGGGATCTGAAAGCTGTTGCTTGGAACTCACTATAGCCAGAACGAATCCTGTATTAACAGGTGCATATTAAAGCCTAAAAATGTCTCTAGCTAAAGTGCTATCAACTGAAAGCATTGGGACAAAGTCTAACTAATGGTCAGGTGAGTTAAATAGACATGTGGATTGCCCCAAGCATGATTTAAGCAAGCCCCAACCCTGTAACATCCCCTGTGTTTTATCTAAAAGCAGCTATGACCAATTTTCCAGTCACACCCCCTTGATAGAACTTAGGCTATAGCAACCAAATTCCCTAAACTTCTTTCTTGGTTTATTTTTTAATTTGCTTTATGACTTATTCAAACTTTTCCCACAATTTCTCTTATATATCCTTCCATTCCCAACTCTAAACACATTCACATATACACTGTACCCCAGAAGCGCCTGTAATAATACGAGCTCCCTAATGAATAGAAAATGGAAAAAAATTTTCAGGCTTACCTTTAAATTCCTGATTTTTGCCACTTTGCCATCAATTTCCACAATAATTCTTCCCCCTTCTTTGGTCTCCCTAGAAACAAGACCCAAACCCATGAGAAGAAATGCTGCTTTTTTTTTTTTTTTTTTTTTTTTTGAGACAGAGCCTCAAGCTATCCCCCTGGGTAGAGTGCCATGGCATCACGCTCACAGCAACCTCCAACTCCTGGGCTCAAGCGAGTCTCCTGCCTCAGCCTCCCAAGTAGCTGGGACCACAGGCGCCCGCCACAACGCCTGGCCATTTTTTGGTTGCAGCCATCATTGTTGTTTGGCGGGCCCGGGCTGGGGATGCGAACCCGCCACCTTAGGTGTATGTGGCTGGCACCTTAGCCGCTTGAGCCACAGGCGCCGAGCCTGCTTTTTTTTTTAATTAAGAAAAAAGCTGAGATCAGTACTAGTGGACAAAATGTTTCTCTTTTGTTGTACCCATGAATGTCTGTCTCCTTAAAGGGCTACAAACATCCTGTGGAGCAACCATGGCAGACTTCCATGGATCCTTAGAATTTGGCTCTGGAACAGCTAACAGTCACATCTATGCATGGGGCACTTCAAGCTGGACTTCACCTTATGCTATCCTAACTTATCTTCCTGACGTAGCTTCCTATATTTTCATATTACAAATGGAAGCTGGAGAAATTACATAACTTGTCTGAGGTCACATAGCTAGCAGTGGCAAAGTTGAGATGTAAACCCAGATTTGTGTGACCACAAAACCTTAATTACCCAGGCAGTCCCCGAGTTACAAACATCCAACTTCCATACAACTTGCACTGATGAATGGAGGCTATTACAGGCAATAGGTGAATACACCCATTCTAATTTACAAGAAATTTGACCTAAGAACAAACCTACAGAAACTGTCTTGTCCATAACCAGGGACTACCAATATCTTGGAATTCAGCCTGATAAACACTTGGCCCAGGATGTAACACAGCATCATCTCATTTTCTCTGGGATTCTGAGCGTGGATATTGATGAAAAAGGTATGAGAGTCCTCTCTGTTGAGACCCCGAGAACATATTTCTCAAATTCCTTCCTTATATCTTCTTAAATCAGAATGAAGGCCAAGATCCTTCAGAGACCTGTATATTGCAGTTATGCAGTAACAATGCGAACAACTAACCAACCTCTATCAGGGGTCCTCAAACTTTTTAAACAGGGGGCCCATTCACTGTCCCTCAGGCTCTTGGAGGGCTGGACTGCGGGCACCGGGACGAGTCAGCTGCTAAGCAGGACAGGCAGTGGCGGCAAAAACACCTGGTAGGCCACATGTGGCCCACAGGCTGCAGTCTGAGGACGCCTGCACACTCACTTAAATGGACAAAGTGACTCACACACCTGAAGTCCATCTTTTCGTAACAAAGAGCTTCAGCTAATGTGCTAAAGTCCAAAATGTTAATAGATGAGAATTAAATTAGCACCTGGGCAGAGTGGCTCACACCTGTAATCTCAGCATTTTGGGAGGCCAAGGCTAGAGGATTGCTTGAGCCCAGGAGATCAAGACCAGCTTGGGCAACAAGTGAGACCCTATCTCTACAAAACATTAAAAAAAAAAAAAAAAAAGCCTGGCCCAATATGGTGGGCTGAGCTTGTAGTTCTAGTTACTAGGGAGGCTGAGCTAAGAGCATCACTTGATCTTGAGAGCTGGAGGTTGCAGTGAGCTATGACCATGCCACAACAGTCTATCCTGGGTCATAGCAAGCAAGATCCTGTCTCTCTAAAACACAGTAATAATAAAATAATCACCTCCGCCACTACAGTGAAAGTTATTAAATTACTCCCAGTCTGGGACCTGAAAGTTGAGATATCACCTTCAGCTGTCTCATTTTTATCCTTCCTCAGGCTTCCTGGGTTGTGACACAGAGGACTGGGAAGGAGGGAGCACAGTGAGAAAAAGGTGTTTAAAGATTTTTTTTTTTAATGTGTGAGTCTTAGAGAAAGCCCTGGATAGAAAATCACCCTCTCACAGGTAATATCTTTCTGTCACTTAAATTTCCTCAAGGCCCTAATGCAGTTTTTTTCCCCCCAATTCATACTAGATAATACTTAAAGTGAGAGAGATACTTTTAATCCCTCAAGATCATGATCTGCCCATTAGAAGCTAAAACTGCACACTTCCCCTACCCCCAGACCTCAGATGAATAAAATCTCTCCTCTTTAGGGTTAACATTTTATAAGATAACATTTTTTCCTTTCTGCATCTTAATGTTGGCTTTATTATCCCTCCTATCCACTACAAAATACATGGATTACAGTATATTAGGATAATAAAAGAAAAAAAATCATACAATTTTTTTTTTTTTGAGACAGAGTCTCAGTAGAGTACTGTGATGTAACAGCTCACAGCACCCTCCAACTCTTCAGCTCAAGCAATTCTCTTGCCTCAGCCTCCCGAGTAGCTGGGACTACAGGTGCTCACCATAACACCCAGCTATTTTTTTGTTATAATTGTCGTTGTTTGGCAGGCCTGGACCGGGTTCAAACCTGCCAGGTATATGTAGCTGGTGCCCTAGCCACTGAGCTACAGGAGCCAAGCCTTTCTTTTTTTTTTTTGAGACAGAGTCTCACTCTGTCACCTTGGATAGAGTATCATGGCATCATCATAGCTCACAGCAACTTTAAATTCTTGGGCTCAAGCAATCCCCTTGCCTCAGTTTTTCTATTTTTAGTAGAATAGGGTCTTACTCTTGCTCAAGTTGGTCTTGAACTCCTGAGCTCAAGCAATCCACCTGCCTCAGCCTCCCAGAGTGCTAGGATTATAGGCGTGAGCCACTGGGCCCAGCCAAATACAATAACATTTTAAGATCTATTATTTGGGGCCTGACATAGTGATTCATGCCTGTAATACCAGCACTTTGGGAGGCTGAATTGGGAGGATCCCTTGAGGCCAGGAGTTTAAAACATGCCTGGGCAACACAGCAAGACTCCTTTTCTACAAAAAATTAAAAATTAGCCAGGTGCAGTACCATGCACCTGTAGTCCCAGTTACTCAGGAGGCTGAAGCAAGTGGATCACTTGATCCCAGAAGTTTGGATTGTAGTGAGGTATGACAACACCACTGCAATAAAGCAAGACCCTGTTTCAAAAAAAAAAAAATCTATTATCTAATTTTCTTTAATTTGCTTTTATGCGAAGATGCATCTGGGACTCTTGCATAAAGCAGCAAAAGAAAAAAGTGTCCCAAACTTGGCCTCTTAGCAGAAACATGTGACACTATAGGGGAATGAGATGTTTGCTCCTCCCCTACCTAGACTACTGCCATTGGTAACCTAGTAATTTCAAAATATTCTGGAACAAAATGATAGCTAAAATTGAACAGAAAGGACATCAAACTCAGAGAGCTGGCCTTAATGAGTTCAATTTAAACCAACTGTGGAAGAGTCTTAACTAAGGAGAGTGGCTCCTACTACTGCTTGCCTCTAGGACATACCAACAGGTGTTCATTCCTTAGGGTTAAAGGTTTTGAAAAGGGGTAAGTCCACAGACTGCCCACAGCAGAATTATGGCGATGGAGGTAGGGCTAATTCTAATTTGTTTGGGAGCCCATTAATGTTAATAAGTGGCCTTTTATTATTTATTATTATTACAAGCTCCCCAGGTGGCTTTAAATATACTATAGGTTAAGAACCACTGTCCTAGAGGGGAACGTAACCAAACTTACTACTTGATAGCTATTCCTTGTAAAACTCTATTTTTATTTCTATTTCTTTTTTTAACTTTATGTTTTATTTATTTATTTTTGATTGTTGTTGTTGTTGTTGTTGTTGTTGCAGTTTGGCTGGGGCTGGGGCTTGAACCCGCCACCCTCAGCATATGGGATGGGCGCCCTACTCCCTGAGCCATAGGCACTGCCCTTCTATTTCTTTATAAAAATTTTATTTTTATTTATTTTTTTGGCTGGGTGCCTGTAGCTCAATGGTTAGGGTGCCAGCCACATGCTCCAGAGCTGGTGGGTTCGCCGGCTAAATGACAACAACAAAGGGTGGCACCTATTGCTCAAAGGAGGTGGCGGGTTCAACCCCAGCCCCACCAAAAACTGCAAAAAAACCCAACAACAACAAAAATAGCCTATAGTCCCAGCTACTAGGGAGGGTGAGGCAAGAGAATCACTTGAGCCCAAGAGTTTGAGGTTGCTGTGAGCTATGAGTGCCATAGCAGTCTACTGAGAGTAGACTCTATCAAAATGAAACTCTATCTCAATTAAAAAAATTTTTTAATGCACGTTTTAATTTTAATTAACTTTGTCTTTAAAACACTTTTAAATTGGCCCACTGTACAGTAGTTATGGCAGCAGCCACATACACTGAGGGTGGCAGGTTCGAATCCAGCTCGGGCCAGCTAAACAACTTACAACAAAAAATATAGCCGGGCATTGTGGTGGACACCTGTAGTCCCAGCTACCCGGGAGGCTGAGGCAAGAGAATCGCTAAGCCCAAGAGTTAGAGGTTACTGTGAGCTGTGATGCCATGGCACTCTACCAAAGGCAACACAGGGAGACTCTGTCTCAAAACAAAACAAAACAAAACATACACACTTTAAAAAAGGAGACAACCAAGTGCCGGGGCCTGAGGAATATAGTTGTTAAAAATCTAGTTAACATCGGCTCGG